AGAAGATTGCTTCGACCTCCAATGGCTAATTGGTTGTCATTAGGGGTGTAAGTCAGTCAAGTTAATTTGTGAGCTGGCTCGAGCTCGACTCAATAAATTGCTTCCGAGCCGAGCTCAATGAGCTAATAAGCTAAGCTTGAGCTACTCCCGACTCAACTCGTTAGCTCTTGAGCTGGCTTGTCTAAAAATATTAATATAAAATGCACTTAAAATATATTAGTATTTAAGATTTTTTAAGTACAAATTATTAAAAATTATCTTTTAATTTCTTATATTAAATGGTTCTTTATTATTTTCTTCTAATTTCTTATTTTTTCACAATTTATTGTAATAATTACTTGAGTCATAACAATTCTCTTTCTTTCATAATAAACGAGTTGACTCATGAGCTAGCTTAAACATGTAAAATAAAGTTCAAGCTTAAATTAGATGTGACCCAAACTCGGCTCGACTCGTTTACACTCTGGTTATTACATGATTATTCTGTGTGGAGTCCGAACATGTCTGAATGCCAATTCGGACACGCAACGTCTTTCAATGTACTATACATTGAGTGACACAACACGTAATAATTTTTCTAAATTGTGAGAAAAGATTCAAATAAAAATAATGATTGTCATGGCTTTGAGCGGCGATGATAGTGCCACCTCAAATAATATTCCCGTGCGATAAAATATGTTTAAAAGTTTTTTTTTTAATAATTTTTCTTTACAAAAATTCGAATGCATTTAACAAAATTTGCCCAATATTTATTATTGAGGTTGTTGAGATAAATGGCCCACGGCACCTGAAATTTCAAAAAAGCCCTATTTCCCGCCGACAACCACAAAAAAAAAAGAGCTCACGCATCTCCCATTTGAAACGTGTCAACTTTTGCCAAGCTGAAATTCTACATAATTACTCATGTAGTTTGCCATTTCAAATTCTTAAGATTATTATTATTATTTAAAATCTGAATTTGATAAATATTTAATAGAATTTTATAAGTAAATTTTTTGGGTAAAATAAATATAAAAAAATTAATGGAAAATTTAGTAACTTTTAATTAGTGGGTGGAACCCAAAAAAGCTCAGATTGGGTAATTGCCATCTTGAAAATTTTTTGGTTAAAAAAATAAATATTTTAACTATTTTACGCACCGAATTGTACCGAGTTGTACGGAGTTGTACCTAGTTTTTTCTAGCAATACCGAGCAAATACCTAGCAATACCTAGCAAATCCCTAGCCATACCGAGCAAATCCTGAGCAAATACTGAGTTGTACCGAGTACCGAGTACCGAGTACCGAGTACCGAGTTTTTTCTAGCAATACCGAGCAAATACCTAGCAATACCGAGCAAATCCTGAGCAAATACTGAGTTGTACCGAGTTGTACGGAGTTGTACCTAGTTTTTTCTAGCAATACCGAGCAAATACCTAGCAATACCTAGCAAATCCCTAGCCATACCGAGCAAATCCTGAGCAAATACTGAGTTGTACCGAGTTGTACCTAGTTTTTTCTAGCAATACCGAGCAAATACCTAGCAATACCGAGCAAATACCTAGCAATACCGAGCAAATACCTAGCAATACCGAGCAAATACTTATTCAGAATCCAAAATCTTTACTAAATAGAATTCTTATTAAGAAATATGGCAGCAATATTTGCTTTTCTTCTACAAAATGCACTTCTTAAACTTGGAAAATTTTATTAGATGGTGTAAAGCATTTAAAGCCTATTTTAAGATGGAAGATTAGAAATGGGACCAACATCAACATTTTAAATGATACATGGAAAGCGGATAAACCTTTTTGTGCTTGACCAACTTTTGTTAATATTAGCAAACTTGAGCATTTATATGTTGAAAAACTGTTGTCTGATGAAAGAAATTTTAATTATAGTTTCAAGCAAGATTCTTTTGGGGAAGAATTGATCAATGTAATCAAGAAAATTCATTTCATTCCAAATCAATCTGAAGACAAAATGGAGTTACTTCATCAACATTCAGGGAAGAAAATAACAGCTTTATCCTTTAAAGAAAAGTTCAAATTTTTTGAAATCAATGACTTTAATTGGCTTAAGAAGATGAAGATGCAACCCATAATTCTTTTTTTCTGGTAGACACTTGGACGAAATGCTATTTCTATGAACAGCTGGCTTAGTCACAAAAAATTGCTAAGTTATGATCTTTGTCCGAGAGGTTGTCTACTTGAGGAAAATACTCTTCATATTGCTATTTCTTGCAAAAAGCTCATTAACGTTTTTGTTGTTCTAAAGAAGTGGGAATTCAAATTCCTTTAATTCGATTTCTGAAATGTAGCATCATCTTCAATATTTGTTTATCAAAAATCTTGATCTTGATAAAATTTAGTGTTCATCTATTTTTTTATTGTTGGAAAGATATGAATTCTATGAAGCATGGAAAAACTTCATCTTCCTCTATGTTTATTTCAACTGAGATATTATCTATTTCAATAAAGTCATATCTAAATCCTATTTTGGATAACTGGGGTGCTAATCAGTTCAATGAATTGAACTCTAAATTTTGGCATCCTCCACCTCCAAAATGGATTAAAGTTAATATTGATGCAACATTACTTAGTTCTAATTGTGCATGAATGAGTGGACTAATAAGGGATGATAAAGAAAGATTTATATCAGCTTTTGGAAAGCAATTATATCATTTGGATGTAACTCAACTTGAAATCATTGTTATCCTTTCTTTGAAGGATATTCTTAAGAATAGATGACTGAAACTGAAGACATTTGGATTGAAGAGGATAATGCCAATGTGATCAAGTTTTTTCATAAATGGTTAACTTCTCAATTTCAGAGAGCTGCATGTTCTATCTTCTTTTATTTATCTTTTTTATATGATTTTGAGCGTATTATTTTTAATTGTATTTCAAGAGAAGAGAATAAAATTGCTTATGGTTATGCAATCTATTTCTTAAATGGTAGTTTCCTTTGGGATTTTTTCCATAATAATATTCCTTCAATTTTTAGTTCCATATTGAAGAAAGAATGTGATAGATTAGCTATCATATAGTTATAATTTTCTATTTATGAATAAGATTGCTACTTGATAAAGCTTTATTAAAGTAGGAGAATTACTTCCTCAAAGAGGGAACGCATAATTACTCTAGCATTGGTAAAGTAATGAGAGAAACTCTGGTTTTCTAGTGAGTGAAATGAAGTTTTTTTTTTCAAATTCTGATTCACGCTTTTAATGGAGGCGGACAGTCGCCGGCTGTCTTCAATGGCTGACAGTCAAATTAAGGGTCGATGTGCTATTCTGACTCCGTTCTTCTCATTACGTTCAGGCCTGCCTTCTTCTCCTCCAGCGTTTGGCAATGAGGCAGTTTCGAACAATCTAGAAAGGAAGGTTCGTTTTATGACTGGGAAGCCATTAGTTATCAATGAAGGTGGCCTTTTGATCCAGAAGAAACCAACTAAAGTAATTGGGAAAGGGAAAAACATCATCTTCGAGAAAGCTAAGGGTTTTCAAAAAATTGATTCTCCGGTTGAATCCAAAAAATGGCTAAAGCTGTAAGTGGTGAAGCGTCAACCTCCAATTCAAAGAAATGTCCAACTAAATCTAGGTTGGAGCTGGAAGACAATGTCAACTGTTAGAAGATAATCCTTGATGAGAATTTGGAAACTGATGGTGGTGTTAATCAAGAGGCAACCAAAAATGCTGATTTGGATAAAGTTCGTGTTTGTGAAGAAGTTGATCTTACTGGCTGTAGAGAGGAGATGGTACAGAATGTAACAACATCAAAAACTTCTAATAAATTGTTACCAAATGCTTTGTCTACAAAAAACAACATTAATGTTTCTAATCTGGACTTTGGGAAAGAGTTCACAGAAGAGAACATGGTGGTGAAACTTCATGTGGCAAATGAGCAAGAAAACTCAGTGAAGCTCAAGAAATCACTAGTTATCAAGGTATTTGGTGAAAGCATCCCTTTCCAATTGATTTGCTCGGAGTTGAGAAGACAGTGGTCTCAGTTCGGTATATTTCATTTAACAATACTTGGTTTGGGATGGGTATTGTGTGCATTTGATGAACAAGAGGCATTGGACTCAGTTTTATCCAGTGGGCCTTGGTATGTAAAAAATAACATAATAGGCATGAATAAGTGGTTGCCAGCTTTCTCCCCATTATCCTTGAAAGGCCTCATGTCTCCGGTTTGGATTAGAATGACAAACCTTCCTCTACAATGCTGGGATGAAATCAACATGTGTAGGATCGCCTCAATGATTGGGAAGCCGTATATGATAGATGGGAATTCATTCCAATGGAGAAGAAGGGAATTCGCCAGGATTTGTGTCAGTATAAACCTGGATTCCAAGCTTCCTTTGGGAGTTGGGTCGAAGGATCTTCGGGAAAATTCTTTCAAAGGATTGAATATGAGAAGATTCCTAACTTTTGTATTTGCTGTGGAAAAATTGGACATTTGAAAGAACAATGTCCATAAAAAGTAGTGAAGGAAATTCAACCAGTCCAAAACAAAAATGTGACCTTTAATGCTGATTCAGCTCAGGAGGAAGGCCTGATCAAAGAAGTGGTATCTAATGAAGCTGATTACAGACCTTGGATTCATGTAAACTTCAGGAGAAATAAGTTTAGAAATCAAGGTCCAAGATTCAGTTCTCAAAACAACTCAATTATTCAAACTGGAAATGTTAAAATTCAACTGAAGAATGCTATGGTGTATAGGAAAGTGGAGAAAACAACAGTTGAAGTCTAAGGAAGACTAGCTTAGGAATTGAATGATGCTAATGTACCTGTGGAAGGAAGGGTGGATAAATCTGGAAATACACTAGATTCAATTATTCAGTAGAATGAAGAAATTGTTATCTCTGGTATGAATTCTTTTCTCCCAGCCATATTTGTTGACAATAACAAATTCAAATTGTTAAGTGATGAAATTGAAGAAGGTGAAATTGTGATACCTAGCAAAGAAGATTTGTTAAATGGTTGTGCCAACATTAACCTCATAAATCATAGAAGTAGCATGGCGGGCTGTGGTAATGCAGATAAATGGGAGGAAGCAAAAGATTCAGGTTCTAAAAAGAAAGTTTCTAAGCAGCTTAAGGGCTTAGGCCCTATAAAATTGACTTCAAGGAGTAGAAGAATGGAGGGAGATCAAAAAGAAAAAGTGGGGAATCCTTCCCCTCTTTTGCATTAATGTTGTCCATTTGCTTTTGGAATTGCAGGAGAGCTAGGAAGAGGAGAGCTTCCCTACATTTGAAGGAGTTTGTAAAAGAAAATGGAGGTTTTTTATGGGTTTGTTGGAAACTAAAGTTGCATTGTTTAGTATAAAAGATGTAGACTTGTTAATTGGAGCAGGATGGAATTTTTTTCAAGTCCCTTCGATTAGATTATCTGGTGGAATCATGGTTCTTTGGAAATCAGATTTGGCTACTTTCAGAGTTTTTGAATCATCAAGCCAATTCATCATTGGGGAGATAGATGTCCAAAACAAGGTAAGTTGGAGAATTGCTACCATCTATGGTAGCACAGATGTATACAAGAGGAGAAAGCTATGGGAAAAATTGCAGTTATACTCTACAAAGGACAAAGTATTGATCATTGGAGGTGATTTAAACTGTCTCCCCAATAAGGATGATAAAAGAGGTGGAAAGATATTCGTTTATTCATTGGGCACCAAAGAAATGGACTATTTCCTTGTATCCAATGACCTTCATGAGGTGATGGGTACTGGTCCCAAATATACATGGTGCAATAATAAAACCGGAGCTGACAAAATCCTTGAAAGACTGGATAGGTGCTATTTGAATTCAGTTGTATTAAGCTCTCCTCATCGGCTAGTAGTAAGGAAACTAGCTAGAGTTTCCTCAGACCATTGCCCAATAATTCTGAATATGTTGAACTACAATGTTGCCCTTAAAAAAACTATTAAATGTGAAGATGTTTGGATCTCTAATCCAGCATCTATTGCTGTGGTAAAGAAAGCTTGGAGCAGGAAATCAATGGGGGACTTTAGCCAAATTCTAAATTATAAGCTGTAGAGGACGCTGAAGGCTATATACTATTGGAGCAAAGATAAACACAAGGCAATTACTTAAATGAAAGACTTTCTCAGTAAGGAGATCTTGGAGCTACAAGAAAAAGAAAGCAGGGAAGAACTCTCGGATGATGATTGCTTGATTCTCAAAATGAAGGTTGGAGAATTCAATTCAAATTTAGATCGACTAAACATGTGGTGGAGACAGCGTGCTAAGGTAAAATGGGCTATGGAAGGAGATATAAATTCAAAAAAAAATTTCATGCTTATGCTAGTGCAAGGAGAAATGCCAATTTTATAAATAAAATCAAAGATGAAGATGGAACGGACACGAAAAATCTGCACCATATTGAAAACAAATTCTTTCAATTATTTCAGAAGAAATGGGAGTTTAGGAAATGAAATTTGGAAGGATGGCCGAAGTCTACTTATTGTCTAGAGGAGGAGGATGTCAGTAGTTTATATAGACAATTCTCTGTTGATGAAGTAGAGTTGGTTATCAAAAATACAGGGAACTGTATAGCCCTGGGAAATGATGGAGTCACTTACTCATTTCTTAAAGGCTATTGGGACATCATAAAGGAATATCTATGGAGAGCCTTGAGTCAGTTTTTTCTTACAGGAGAGATGAATTCCAGTTGGAAAGAAACTCTAATCGTTTTGATTCCTAAATTTTCTAACCCAATTTATCCATCCAACTTCAGGCCAATTAGTTTGTGCAATGTAATTTCCAAAGTGGCGGCCAAAGTCATTCTAAACAGAATATCTCCTATTATTCACAAAGTAATATCATCTGAACAAGCTGCATTTCTGAAGGGCAGAGCTATGTCTAATCACATCATGATAGCACATGAGATCTTCCACAAATTCAAGTATTCAAAGAACTCTAACGGTTTGGTTTCTTTCAAGCTTGATTTGGAACAAGCCTATGACTCCATGGGATGGCCTACATTGGAAAAAGCTACGAGGTATTTTGATTTTCCTTCTACAATTTCTTCTTTAATTATGGAAAGTTTTACAAATTCAAAGTTTTCTATAATAATTAACGAAAACTCATCAAATTGAATTGAGACTAAATGTGGATTTCGGCAAGGGTGTCCCTTATCACCTTATATGTTCATTATTTGTGCTCAATTGATGACTACTGCTCTTAAACAAAGAGGTGAAAATTATGGTATAAGCATTTCTCCAAATGGGCCAAGGATATCACATTTGTTATATGCGGATGATATCATAATCTTTTCAAAAGCAAATGTGAAGGAGGTCAAAAATATCAAATGCATTATTAATGATTTCTGTGGCTGGACTGGGCAAAATGTGAATGCTAAAAAATTTTGTATGCTTTTCGGGAAATCTGTAAATAGAAGGAAGAAGAAAAAAATAAAACAGATTATGGGGATCCAAAGTGTTAAAGAATTTCAATATATGGGGACAAAGATATCCTTGAGAAGGTTAGTTGGCCAAGACTTCCAATTCATTATTGAAAAATCCCTTAAAATGATCAATATTTGGGGGAGCAAATTCATTTATATGGTGGGAAAAATAAACCTAGTCAAGATGGTTTTGCTTTCTTATACCATTTTTCATAGTACTCAATCCATGATTCCAAAAAGAATTCTTGAGGAGATGGAAAAAATGTGTAGAAGCTTCATTTGGAATAAAATAAATGTGAGTCATGGTATGCACTTTGTTAGTTGGAAGGTTTTGTGCTTACGGACTAAGTGGGGTGGAAGAGGGCTTCACTCTTTCTATGACAAAGTTGGGCCATTAAGAGTAAAAATTGCATGGAGGTACAATCAAGTGGAAGATTCCTTATTGCATAAAATCTTATTTCCCAAATATGGATCCATTTTTGAAAACCGGTTTTCAAAAAGGAAAGGTTATACAGCCTGGATTATTATAAGAAATGGAGGAGATTTTTTAAGACATATTGTTAGGTGGAATGTTGCTGATGGTAAATCCATAAATACTCTCAAAGATAATTGGATTTTGGATAAAAATTTGAAAAAATGGCCAACTTATTTTATTCCTTAAGAACTAGAAGGAGCCTCCGTGGACAGATTTATTTCAAATGGTAGATGGGATGAAGAGGGACTGAACAAAGTATTTGGATCAGAACTTGTTAGTTTGATAATGCAAACTAACATATCTAATGACTTATCTAAAGACGGCTTGGAGCTTATATACAACATATCAGGCAAATTTATATCTGCCGTGGCGTTTGAAGCTTCAATTCAAAATTCTCAGCAAATTTTCTATTGGAGTTGGATAAAGAAGGCAAAGCTATCACCTATAGTAGAAGGATTTTGGTGGAAACTTTTTAACAGAGCAATCCCGACATTCCAATTCTCATGCTATAGAAGATTGCAAATGCAAAATGGATGTCCTAGAGGCTGCAATATGATAGAAGATATTGAACAACTTGTTATCAAATGCATAAAGCTGTGTGAGGTGTTCCAACATCTAAATCAGTGGGGATTTGGAATTCCTACCTTCAGCTCGTTCACAAAATGCATTTTCTGGATATCAACTCAAAATTACTAGTTGATAAACCTATTTTTGTAATTCTATTTACTTAACTTGGAAAGCAAGGAACAATTTTGTTCATGAAGGCAAAGAGGCGGGTTCCTTATTAATTACAATGGAGTCCCTTTCTATGGATTCAATTTCAACTTCAAATGATGTGGCTGTCTCAGGTAAATGGGGTGTCAGTCAGCTTGATAAGCTGTTGGATGTTCATTGGCATCCCCCTCCACCCGGTTGGATCAAGATAAATGTTGATGCTTCCTTACTTCTATCCTTTAAAGGAGGAATTGGGGGAGTTTTTAGAGACTTCAAAGGAAGGTTTTTATTAGCATTTGGATATTCTTGTGTTCACTGGGATGTCTCAAGGCTTGAAATGCTTGCTATTCAATCCGTCAAAGAGGTTTTTAAAGATTGGATGATGAATTATGATGGCATTATAATTGAAATTGATAATGTAAACGTCATCAAGGATCTCCTAGATGGGTTTTTTTACAAGAATGCCGATTTGAGAGGTATGTTCAAAGACTTTAGAAATGTTATCTTTAATTGTATAGATAAAAAGTGTAATAAGTTAGCGGATCTATGAGCTAACTATGCTATTATTAGTTCATTTATTTGGGATGATTTAGTTCTTAATAAGGTTCTTCCTTCCTTTATCTATTTGTTAAAGGAGGAATCTAATGTTTTTCATTAGTTCTTGCAATTAGTTTTTTTAATAAAATTTAGATGCACTTGATTGCATTTTCTTCAAAAAAAAAAAAAAAAATAATAAGATTGCTACTTGGATTTGTTAAATATATATAAAGAGAACCGAGATCTGCTTCCTAATTAGTGGCTAACTAATTTCTAGAGAGAAAGCGTCTTTTGAATCTTTGCGTTTCGCGGGTTCCTTGTCTCCGGCCATGGCGGCTTCTGGCCGGCCGCCATCTGATCCCCCGGATCACCATCGAATTGCTGGCCTTCAGTCTGATTTTGTTCTATCCGTTCCACCGCCATCTCCTCGTTCTTCCATCACCGGTAATGACGTTTATTTAATTTCAAGATCTGGATCAAAGCCTCTGATCATTAGGGAAGGATTTGGATCTATCTCTCAGCATGATAATCCGATGTCCTTTGTTGAAGGAAAGGGTAAGGGTCTGATGGATTCTTCGGTTGTAGATACTCAAGATCGTACCCTTTCTCCGGTTGTTAGCCTTGTTTCTAATGGATTCACCTTCGGATCTCTGAATCATGAAGTGTTGGATTCATCGGATATGATTTCCAACAAGCCAATCAGTATCCCCGGTGGCTCTTCTAATCGTGTTCCTGCGTCTGACTCTGGAAACTCTGTTGATCCAATTGCTGCCCAAAACTTTACTGTTCCAATTATTGTTAACAACGCGGAGGAATCCTTGGTTGGCACGGACAACCCAAAGAACTCTTTTCTTAATGCCTGGAGAAAGCCTAATCATATCAAATTAAATTTTGATATTAATTCAATTGAATTATCTTCAGATGGGGTGGCGGCTAAGATGAATTCAGAACAAGAACTTGTCAACTCCAAGGTCCTCTCTAACTCTGTTGTTCTGAAGGTTTTGGGGAAGCACATTCCGTTCTCAATTTGTAGCATCGAGCTCCATAAACAATGGAATCATTTTGGGAACTTTCACCTGACTTCCCTAGGCCTTAACTGGATACTCTGCTCTTTTAAATCCCATGATGTTATGGAGGAAGTCCTAAGTGGGGGTCCATGGTACATTAGAGGCTACATTGTTGGATTGGACAAATGGTCGCCATCTTTTTCGCCTTTATCGCTTAAAGGCTTAACTGCTCCGGTTTGGATTCGCTTTCCCTTACTGCCTTTACATTGCTGGGATGAAGTCAACATCACTAGAATTGCTTCAAGAATAGGCACTCCAATGTTCTTTGATGGAAATTCTCTCAACTGGAGCAAGAAGGAATTTGCTCGCATCTGCGTGCGTGTTAACCTTGAATCCAAACTTCCTTCGGGAGTTTGGGTAGATGGTTTGGGAGGGAGATTCTTCCAAAAGTTCGAGTACGAGAAGTTGTCTTCTTTTTGCTTTCATTGTGCCAGAATTGGTCACTTGAAAGCTGATTGTCCTGAATGTGTGTTCAAGACAGCTGAACACAGCAATAAATCGACAGACAATGTCAATCAGGACACCTCTCACACCAGCCTATAGGAGAATTATGGGCCGTGGATTCACGTAAAATTTAAAAGGAGGCCGAATCAAACAGGAAATCATATGGGGCACAAGACGAAGGAAGTTAACCATCAGGATAATCATCGTGATGCTAATAAAAACATCTCTAGCAATCCAGTTAAGTCTCCTTTGGTGGAGTCACTGAAAGTGGGCAGTGGAAAACCATTAATGAATGCCAATTCTGATGCGGATATTTGCTTATCCAACTGTTTCAAAGTCCTTGTCGATGAGGAATTAAATCAAACGATTGATGCCGCCTCAGTTATTCCGGACT